TTTTTTTATGCTCGACTCATTTGTTCATTTCATTTCGTGAGGGTGAGAGTCAAGAGAGGGAGAAATCAAGTTGAGCTGCTTCTCCTGGGTATGAGACTGAGGGACCGCTTCGTCAGCAATGCAAGATATTCTGTAAAGAAGGAACAACTCGCACGGTTGCTCAACTCCATTTGTCCTACGCTACGGATACAGTACTGATCTTTCCTCCTTCGGAGAGAACATCGAGAAATGATGGTCGGACGTGTGCTCCTCATGACCTGTGCGTTCTCTCCTTTTAGTCAATTAAAAGAAGCAGGTCCAGTAGTCGGAGCTCTCGATTTCAGCCGACATGAGGTAAACGTCTTTGTCTTGGGAGATTCGTCTAATTTACTGTTTTTTATGGTTCCTCATGTTTCTCTTAGAACTCCGATGCCGGCCTTTGCTAGGGAGGACAGCTCACCCATGCACCAAGTCGGGATGATCTTTAATATTTCGTTCAAATTCTCAGAGGACGACATCAACAATCTTGATTCTTGGTTATAGAGAAAGCTCTGATGCACTATCGTCTAGGGTTGGATTGATTCAACGGAACAGACGGTTCCTTTCTGAGAGTTATACTTGGTTCTGTGAACTCGCGATATATATATACCTAGTTCTATTATTTTGACTTGAGATTAATCATATAGTGTCTGTTATTAGACAAACTGCTGAGCTGATACTCTATATTACTGGACGTCTGATCGGCAGGGGTAGCGATCTCGTAGCCTGCACAGTGGGCGGAACTGAGGTTGATTTGCATATCAGTTCTTAGCTAACCTTCTATCTATGGCCATGATTGATAGAAGTCACCTGTACTCCAGATTAGTGCGGGGTCCAGCGCCAACTGAAGTTGCTTCGGCTGATGTTTTGCTATATGCTGTTCATTTTCTAACCATTACTTTGTTTCATATTGGGTATAATCTCCTTATGTCATTTGTACTCTTCGTTTGTGAATCACTCTTAAGAGCTCTTAGCTTGGACGCCGTCTTCTGGAAGCTTATTGAAAAACTCTGATGTAGCGGGTGCATCCAATACAGTTCCTGATACCTGTTTGTTCCGGAATTAGGCTTCGTCTTTGGGTGACACGTCTGTTGAAGTTCTTCTGTCGACCTGGTATGCTTTACTGGTTGTCTTGTATGCTACTTATTTTATATATTTTATTATTATATATATAATATTTTTTTATTATATTATATATATATTTTTATATATTTATATACTCTTTATTGATTATTTATTTCTCGCAGTTCCTTATCATTTCAAATCAATCCAAGCGTTATTGGGTTGTGACGTCCGGAAGTCTGTTATCTGCTCTAATCTCCAGCTTCTTCCTTTTTGAACTCTATGGTCATCGCTTCTCTTCAAAATGTATTTGAGTTTATAAAAATCTTTGAGCATTTTATTCAGGGTCGAGAGGGAAGGTATACGCTTAGCGTTCAGTACGCTTTTTGGTTGTTTGAGGCACTATTGACTTCTGCAACTCTTCGCACAAGGCGTACTTCATCGCTTTATTTGGGATCCGCGCTGCAGGGGTGGTAATTCTCAAGGAATTGCCACTCTGAACCATGCACAATTAAGAGACACCAGTCTCCAGTTAGTGTGAATATTGGCAGGAACAAGCAAGGTACTACGAGAGATGATAAATCAGGTGGGCGAGAAATAGCTCGCTTAGGGAGACTGCTGGCCTGGATGCTCTTGATGTTTGGAGTCTGAGTACGCAGGAATTCATGTTGAGGAGCCTTCAGCAATGAACTTTCAAGATAAATAATTGCTGAGAGGAACAGAGGTTCGCTGCG